ACGGGAACATTAATTAATTTACTTTTTATGTATAACCTTAACGATACTTACGTTGTGTTTGATGTTTAAAGAATATTTGAATTCACTTTTAACTTTAAATCCTACGAGTGGGGCTCGATAACGTATAGGTATCGTTATATAGTTAGGTTATGTAAGTGTAATTACTATTATTGTTGTATATTTGTATGCGACTGAGCTCTGTATATTATCATGTTTTAATGAAAATTAGAATTTAATTAAATTGTATTGTCATAAATATGAAAATTTAAAAAATAAAAAAAGATGGTTATAGAAGACAATGCAAAATCATTTACCAACTGAAAAGAAATCCACTGGCATTTTTATAATATAAAAAAAATACATAGGTACATAATTTCCGTGAGTGTTACTCGTACGTAAATATAAAACATTGGATGATTTATTTTGTATTTTTCTTTCGAAGAATAATGCTATTATTAAAAATGAATTCTTCCAAGAAATACTATAGTAGCACCTTTCTACTATTATTTAATTTACTTTAAGAATTTTTTTAATTTTTACATTTTTAACAAAGCAGATTGATTTATATAAAGATTTAAATTTGTACAGGTTATAGGTTATGGAGAAAAATTTTGTTAAAACGGAATATTTCATGGGAACAAAAAAATAATTACCTTTATAAATACACAATTAATATAGGTGTGCACCTACAAAAGTAGGAATTTGAGAAAAACGAAAGAAAATATAAATGCATAAAATAATTATGATATGAATAGTAGTTGTTAGGTAATATAAAATATTCTATTTTAATTTGTAGGGTACCTAGGAGGTAAGTAAAATATAATAGGTACCTACATTTATAATTAATATATTAAAATGAACCATTCAGTGATTCAGTGTGTCTAATGACAAAATATTATATGTATAGGTACTCGTTGTATACAATTAATTATAGTTTTTAACATTTATATTATTACTAAGACTAGAGTGTTTTATGTATAACATTTATATCAAAGAAAAACTATATTATTTTACTAGTTTTTTTTACAGCTGAATAAGTTTGATATCATATTGAATAAACTCGGATGACTTTTATTTTAAATTTCCATTTTTGGATTCCGAGTGGAATGATGAATGGATTGGTTTTATAATTTATAATGCTGTGAGTGTGTGATATTTTTGTGTTTGTCATCGTGTTACTGCTCCACAGTAAAATTGCTTTATTATTAAGCTTTGGGGGTGGTTTCTGGTAGAAATTTGGATCTAGTTTTGACTTTTGGTTTCTTTTTTTTATTTTAGTATTTAGTATTAGGAAATTATAATAACATTTGTCCTAGGGTGTTGCCAATTGGGAGTTGTCACTTTCTTGTGAAAAAAAAAAAATACTTATCAGAATCTGACAATTCTACAAAGCCTGAGAATTATTCACATGAAGTATTTTTTTTTCAATATAATACACCCTTTCGACTCCTCCTAAATAGGTATTGGGTAGTAGATTAGTGGAAAAGTATTATAATTAAGGTTGAAAACAAAAAATTTAATTTTAAAATTGTATGGAATTGCGTAATCGGGCCCCTTAAGTAAAGGATATGCAATTTAACATAATATTGATTGTATTTATAAGTTAGTTCTTATATACTTATATTTTAATTAGTATATTAAACAGTTTTTTAAAAATATCGAAAATGCATTGGCATGATTGTGTAGACTATCTACGTATAATTACTAATAACAATTTTGATTATGATTTTACTATTTTAGTTTGCTTGTTGAAATCCAAAAAATATTTACAGTAGGAATTTGAAAATGTTCTCGATTTCGTATTATTTTCTGTATTCAATGACATTTTCAACATATTTAGAATATTTTTATGCACTTTATACTGTGAAACTATTCTTACCATTAAACGAGGGTACGTGGTATTGACCTATAAGTTAATAACAACAATATACTATATGACAGAGGTATTCAAATTGTACGTCGCGGCCCCCAAGGGCGTCGCGAGAGTTGTGGAAGGAAGCTGCATCAAAGCGCCGCGAACCAACATTAATGTAGGTCAAGTATAATTAATATAAATATTATTTAAAATCATTAAAGCGGTTATGGAAAGGATAATGAAACACATTACCCGACTATTTGAAGTTTTATTTCTAGTACTAAAGTCACTGTTATTATCATCGATATTGGCTATAGTATTGTATTCGCATTTTTTCAATTTTTTCATAATAATTTTTGAGCTGTAAAAACATTATAAACACACAAAGGAGCTGTGGGATGAAAAAGTTTGAATACCTCTGCTATATGATATGATTTAATATTGCAATAATTAATAATATAATATAATATATGGTGTTTTTGGCAAAAGTTAGGTCAACTCCGAATAGAAAAATGAACTACTTATGGTAACATATACATTTAACGACAATTTATGCTGATAGACTGTCTCCGCTCATAATCTTTTTGTATGCTATAATTCATCATTGAATTTAAATATAAAACATCCAATACAGTAACTTGGTCAATTAATTATTACTCTCAAAACCAACACTATAGTGCATAGAAAATTCCCTGGTTATTAATGAAATTTTTATTTGATAGTAAAATATATTGTATATTATATTAATGATTTATTCTGCAGAGAAGTTAAGTTTTTATTTTATTATTAGCTAATATGAATTCAACCGTGTCCAACAGTTAATGTTAAAACATAAATATGTTTTTGGTATGGATACAATTTTTTTTCTGGGAGGCCAAATTAATATTAAACACGAAATCTCGAAAACGACTACGAACGACCTACGAAGGTAACATTTGGAAGATATGTAGTTTATAGGTAGGATACGTCAGGTAAGACGGTTTTTTTTTAAATTCAACCACTAAATGTTGAAAATAGGAGTATCTATGTAATGTGATACTTTGGACAGCTATATCTGAAGTTCTGCCCAACCAATTAGTCTGATTTTTGTTTTAAGCGCAATTTTTCAGTGAGTAGTTAGGCTATTTATTGATAGAAGTTCAAATAATTAATTAATTAAATATAAATTACAAAAATAATATTACACTAGTGGCCCCATGCCTCCATCTACGCAATAACGTAAAATCTAACTATTTATTAATTTCGTTATTACCTAACCTTTCGTGAGGTTTTTGTTGTCATAGTTACTTATTAATAAAAACATATTTATGATTCATAGATTTTCCTTGAAGAGGAAAAATATCCAGTAACGTGCTACGGGGATGGTTTTTTTGGTTTTAGTCATATTGAGTTACAAAAGGTTATTGTTTTACCACAATAAAAATAATATCTCATGTGGCTGTGGCCTGTGGGTTATGTGTATAATGTATATTGTATTATATAGATTATATTACAATGTATTCCTTATTTGGGTGGACAATTTTTTATGATCCGATTTATGTTATGTACCTATTATATATTTATATGGGTAGAATTGATAAAATATGTTATCACTTATCTCTAATGGCATAGATATAATAATACAATATAGGTATAGATCTCATCTACTACGGGTTGAAAAAAATCAACGTATTAACCAGTTGAAAAGTTGCAGACATGGGCTCGGCAATGCTGTAAAATATACATTTTTTTCGAGGATTAAAATATGTGGTATTGCTAGGACGTTACAACATTTAGAACTAGAATTATGAATTATTTATTTTTGGGAAATTTTTCTCACTTTTTAGATACGAGAATATATTTTAAAAGTTTTTAAAGTTTCTAACAAAAACTGTGATTTATTCATTAGTAAAATGTTATAAGCTCTACCCAATGTCGTTATTCAAATACTATGATTCATAACTAGCTCTAGAATAATATTAATTATAAAAACCAACTACGCGCGAAAAGTTTTTCTGCATACGATTAGTTTTAAATTTATTTAAAGTGCAATTATTAAATATGTGAGGGGGAGGGACCAACAATTTTTTTTTATTATGAAATCGATAACTGGTGATGGTATACTGACGTTAGTAACTTTACCCCCCCCCCCTCAAGTAGTCATCTACTGAAGTATCCTACACTTTCGTCTTCTTATAGAATCTAAATGCTCATGCTCCCATATTGGAAATCAGTATGGATCATTATCCTTAATAACTTATTGTTGGTATTGTATTCCTTTAAGGCCATGCGTATTTCGAAGTTTAGTTTCTTGTCTATAACCTGAGGTAACTTAAAACTGTCTATATTTATTATTAGGTACACGTTTGTTCCATTTTATAGTGAATTTTCTTTGAATGCTTATTGCTTCATATTCAACCATACATTTTTCTACATTCAAGGTCCAGGTGTTCTATTTATTGGTAATCTTATATTGGCTATAATTAATTATATTTTATGATTACCTTAAAATTAATTTGATATCAGGCTGCAGTAATACATTTTTCGTCATTACATTTATAATCAATTTGATAACCGATAAATCGATTCTAATATAATTTAATTTATTTGTTCAGCACATATGTTGGTGTCAGTGTATAGATTGTCGGCTCCATGAATTCGGAATGGAATAAAAGTTTTCAGCTAATTCGATTGGGTCAATTGTTCGTCACCTTACATTATACACACCAATTATTACTATTTAAAAGTCACAGTTTTAGGGTGATTCTATACCTATTGTATTTAAGCAATTCAATATAGGTGAAAGTGTGCTCATGCGTGTCGTGAGATTGAGTATAGTTGTACGATACAATTTCTGAAACCAAATTTAAATTATTTATCATGTCTACTTCAAAATTACTTTCTTACATTTTAAATTAATTTTAGAGTTCAATATTATTAATACTCTAAACTGTTAATATTTAACATTTAAAATTTAATTTCAAATAATTTTTAGTTTTCTATTTTAAAAAAGTAGAAAATCTCTTTTCAAGTAAGCTTTTTGAAAAATGTCAATATATTTCCAGATGTTTTATCTAATTACTACGATAGTCTGTACATTTGGCACATAACAAGTATATTAGTCAAGGAAACACAGTCTGATTAAAAAAATTATATTCTTTTATAGGACCGTAGAGGCAGTTTGAGTGTGGAGACGGACAGATCGTCGAATTTTTTCGCCAGTCGACTTACACTTGCTAGTGTTACTAGATCTGACTCTGGAAAGTACACTTGCAAGTCTGGCAATACGAATTCTACTACATTTACACTACATGTTATATCACCAGGTAAACATAATAATAATAATTATATTTTCATTACCGTCAAAAGACCATTTTACATAATAAGGTTATAAGGTTATAGTGTTATAATACAATGATTGAAGACAAAATAATTTTTCAAAAAAAAAATGAGAAAATTAATTAGACAGAAATGCAGAATAAAATATAATAAATTACATTTAAAAAAAAAATTTGAATGTCTTCATTTTTTACTTTTAATCACTAGTAAAATCTGATATATTATTACGCATTAGAACATGTGATATTAACATAAAATTTATATAATAATATTATTATAAATTTTATATTATAATATATTGATATGTAAATCAAAATATTCGCATAAAGTGTGTTAGTTGTGTCTAAGCACCATCGTTTCGCATGTCGGTTGTATAAATTTGTACCAATAAGTATAAAGTTGTACGTAGAGTTTCAGTGGTTGAGTGATGTTAACCAAAATGTATTAGATGGATGGGTTGATACATATATACTAAACACATATTAGTTATTATAATATATACGAATAAGTATAATTCCGGTTCTATTGTTATAGCCATGTCAAAATTGCATATGTCGTGATTTAAGGTTTAATATTCATACCCGATTAATATAGATGTCAACTCATCAGCACTATTACGTCAACTGTAATTTTAAATGTTGATTCGACATTCACACGATGGATTAATAACAATGACTAGAAATATAGGTACCTGTTTAAATCACAATTGTTACACCACACAATATAATGTAAATTTAGGTGAAGTGGGAAATGTAAATCGAATACAGAAGGATGAAAAATAATATCGTAATCGGAAGTGAAATATTTCTGATATTCATTCCTAGCACATATTTTTAAATCATCACACATAATATAAACATTATGAATATCGAATAACGATACTTGATAAATTGTTTTATTATCTGTTCTGTGTCTTTATTTTAGGTACTTACTAACTAGTATTAATTGTTATTTAACAAGTGGAAATATATATTTAGTATTATACTTAAAAGACAATTAAGTCATCCAAAGATATAAAGAAGTACCTAAATGGTTTTAACTTTTAAGCAATACAATTGATTTTTTTTTTTTTTTTTAACAATTTACATTAAATTCATCAGATAATATTATTATCATTTATACACTAATAATACAATAAAAAAATTATATTTCATATATTTGTAAATTTGTTGTTTCAGCGAACGGTTTAGCTTTGCAAGATGGTTTGAAATCAAAAGGATCACGTAATTACCAACACGATTATGTTATATCAATGATCATATTTAATTTCATTGCATGCTCAATATTTGTTTTTAAATTGCCTCAATGATAAACATAATATTTGTAATATACATTTTACACATTTTTGTAATTATTTTTACATTAGTTTTCAATAAGTACCATTATTTTAATACGATTTTTATTTTATATTTTTTGGGATTATAAATGAAAAAATGAAAATATCAAAAAATATGTACATGTGTACCTATCAAATAAATGTACGTCGTGTAATAATGTGTTCCTATTGTTATTTAAATTTATTACGACCTCATATTTGACATTTTTCATTTTACTTTTCGTATTCTCAAAACACGAAAAACATTCAAAATTAATCATAAAATATTTGTAATTTAGTTATAAATGTAGGTAAGCATGCGTTTACAAATTAATTATTCGTAATAATATAAGTATCTGAATATTACTTTTCTTATACTTTATAGTCAAAATAATTTATTTCAGTTAATTAAACTAAGCAAAAGTAATTTGTTTCTTCACAAATTCGAATAAAGTTAACAAATTAATTAATCACTTTAATACTAAGAATTTTACCATTTTGCGTTTCTATGAATTTTTAAATTAATTTGTTCTAAGAAAATATTATATTATATAATAACAAATTAAAAATCATACAATTTTCTCTTTATATTATTTCTCTATATTAGGTACCTACATTATTTTAATTCGTGAAATAATTTATTGATTCCATTTTTCAAATTAAAATAATTGATTTTAAAACATAGTTAATTAATGGTTTTATACTTTTACAGTATTTATTATTTAGTATTTGCAAATTATTAAAAAACATTTGTTGTGTGGACGTGTTGTTGACTAATGGGATTGCTAATTTCTGACTAATATCGGAAAATCAATAAATACTTATTATTTAGTTTTACTTATTGTAACTATAGATTTAAAGATTTAATAAATAAGAATAAAACAGTTTATTTATCACTGTGACAATTTAATTTTTGTTATTCCTCAGATAGGAATATTTACACAAATCTGGTTTTTAATAGTACATTTTGTTATTTTACTGTAATTAAAAAATGAATAATCTTGAAAACTTTAAAGGTTTAAATTTTCATCAAAAACATTTTTATTTGTATTTTTAGACATGATTTTATTTTTAAAATAGTTTAGGTTTTTATTCTATATATAACCATCATTTGACGTTTTATTAAATTTTTTTTGTCGACGTATTTAAGATAGGTATAATTTTTGTTTGTATGTCAAAAAAGTCAACAGTTTAATACAAGGTTTCTCTTAAGTTGGTCTTACAGTTTTCTAAAAATATCAAAAATACAAAAAGATATAATCTTTATAGACATTTGATGTTTTAGTTTTGAAAAATTGGATATTTAATTAAAATTAATTAATTAAGTAAAATTAAATCAATTCAAATTAATGAAAAACGGAAATTTTTACCCAAAATCTATTTTGGTTTTTGGTGTAACTCTAAGCTTAGATTTCTTCTTAAAGTTGTCATTAGTTATAAGTTATAAATGACAAGTCGAGATTTTATATAAATAAATAAATATTAAATGCAATACTGAATGCTTAGACAAATTACCATCGATCCATCAAATTTTCCAGTCAGATTTGTTCTTACTATTTAGTAGGATAAAATGGTGGTGAATACTTTTTGATGTTTCATAAATATTTATTTATTTTCTAGGTATTTTCTAGGAAAATTTTAATGAAGTGAAGCAGTAATTAATTGATTTATTTTAAATTTAGGTGTAAACTACTTGTAATTTTATATATAATATAGTTAATTTTCTTTAACAAATATATCGGAATTTTGACAAAAATAAAACACCGTGAATTTATTCAAGGAATAAAATGTTAACTAATCTAAATTATTAAAAGTTCAAAATTCTATAATCCTCATTCCACTATTCAATACAAAGTTAGTATAAGATTTATAATATTACCTGAAGTAAAATATATCTAAACAAAGGATTAATTTCAACGAGAGTAATGTTAAAAATGTGCAACTGGTGTGACAAGAAAATCACCTTGTAAGTTTATATAAACAAACTTTTTTTTGGTTCTCAGCAAGGTTTTCCTTATTTGTACTAATAAAATATAGTTCTTACTAATTTTGGGTTTTTATTTCCACATATACTAATCTGAAATAATTTATAAACAACTTAGATGTATAATGCGTATATTGTACATTTGTGTTATAGTATATTTATATTTATGTGTTTAATATTATAAAGGTATTATATTATATATTTACAACATTTTTATGTTGTAAGATTATTTATTTCTGCCACTATATACTCAAAAGACTTGGTAGCTATTGTGTTATATAGGTTAGATTAGTCTTTTGTGTTTTTGAATGCATTTCTCTGAGTTTTGGCTATAAAATATTTTATGGGTGGATTGTATTCGTGGTTTTTGACGCTAATATTTGCATATTACATGAATAATGTCCATTTCGAGTACCGAAAAATGGACTCTGTGGTTGTTTACTGAGGTATTATAAAGAATACAACAAAACGAAAACTATCAAATAAAAAGACAAGACATCTCTAAGCGTTTGTATTAAATTTGTTGGTGAAAACACCATAGGCTATTACTGATAATCATTTAAAAAATATATCTGGCTTTCATTTTCACCACTATTATCCCCCCTCCTACTCACACTCATCCAAACCACAGTCGTTATTTTCTGTCAAGCGAATAAAAAAATAAATAATGATGTGTACTTTTTGTCGACTGTCGTGATCTTTCGTGGTTGCCTAAGGGCTAAAGCCAACATTTATTAATGCTAGTTTGCAAGATAGGGTGTGGGTCAGGATTTACATTACAAATCGAGTCATTTGACTGGGCAATTAGTCGACGAAAATGACATTAAGGACGTGAAGTGAAAAATCCACCGCAAGATTAATCGCCATCAAGGTTTGGAAAAGCTAATACTTTTTTTTATCTTCTTCTTTTCATCGGTTTTTTTTTCATTTGTGGATCTTGTATTATCGTGCTGTGAATCTGATAAAAAAAAAATAAAAATAAAACAGAGATAATATTTGGGTACAGTTAGTACATATATCGTCTTCTGTTATATAATCATTTATCGTTAAGTAAATCCAACACTGTAGTAATAGCTTATTGCGTATGACTTGGTTTTTATTTTTAGCATACTTTTGGTATTTGTTATTAGTGTTGCCTAACAAATCAGATAATTGAAAACTATTTATAAATAATTGCAATTGTTGAAAATAATTAATCTATTTAAAATAATCATTTTACAAGGTAAATATTATGGCCGAGTAAGTTTTGTTTTTGTACTGTTGTATATTTTCTTTCTAGGTATATTTTAGTATTGTATTGATATCATTTTATATATTGCAGGGTAAACGTAATAATTTTGTATTTCGATTTTCATACATTTTGCACAATTATAATATGATATGATATGAAATAAACGGAGTGTAAAATTATTGTAAAATGTGGTTTGTTAGTGTGAGAGAGTTTATGAGAAACAGGACGCTTTTATCGTTGTAATTTTCAAATGTTCGAGATTACGGGCATTTACATTCCATTTCAACAGTAAGAATTAGGTTAAATAATATGCTTATTACACGTTTAATCAAAAGTAAGTTTAGCATATTTTGCTCTTATTTACTATCGATTTTAAATGATACAAAATACATTTTTACAACTTTCATTCGTTGCTGTAATCGTCCTTTACTTAGTTCGGATGTGACATTTTTTTTTCATGTGTATAAGAGTGACCTACTTTTAAGAAAAATGAACTATGTGTACATATTTTAAATTTCAAGTGAATATAATTTTATGAGTTTTAGTTAGAAATGCAAATTTCCTTCCTTAATCTAGACTTTAAATTATTCCCAGAAGTTGTTTATATATAGGTACTGTATGTGCTACGTATTTACGATTTTTTATAGGGTTTTGGATGTATTATAGTAATAATATCCGGTTTGAGTTTAAAATCTAGATACCTACTACTATAACACTGAATATAAGTTATAACTATAAAATTGAAAATATAATATATTGATACCAATTTTATTTATTTTTCACTCTCTCGAAAATTGCAATTTCTTAGAAAAAAAATGAATATTTTACGTTTTTATGCGTGCCCCCATATCAAATTTTGGGACCCTGTACTTAATGTTTTTGTGGGCCCCTTCCAAAACTTTGGGCATTACCAATAAAATACAATCCTTTACAAGCGAGATGAGTGTCCCAAACACAATTTCTACTTATAATAGTATGACAACTATGCATGTTTTCATTTCTACTTCAGGCATATAAAACATTAAAAAAATTATCTTTCTATTAATTGTCAAGGTAAATATTTTCCTTTACTATTATACCGTCTTATTATATTATATTTGGATCTAACATAAGGCTTTTAAAAATAAATATCGATGAACTATGAACATTGTTTATAGTATTGGAATTTAAAATATTAAAACTCGTGATGCATATATTAATTATTTAAATACTTTTATTTTTGTGAATCAAATAGTTTGTATGAATCATTATTCTTGGCGATATTAATTAGTATGGGGAAAATACACGAATAATGATAATTTAAGATGTTAGGTACCTACTTAAACACTTCTGCGGTCCTGTAAAGAATACTTTTGAAAAGAACTTGAGTAAGTACTCAAATACATTTTTTTTTAAGTATTTAAGATACTACTCAAATACTTTAATTGTATAGTATTTCAAATACTACTCAAATACTTTGAAAAAGTATTTGGAATACTTTTCAAATACTTTTGGTTTTTAAAGTGGGTTTCTAATTATTGTAATATAGACACATAGGTAGTAAATTTATAATCATTTTTATTTATTATTTATTAAATAAATGTTTATTACATTTTTTTTTTTATTTTTACATGAAATTTACAATCTGTTCTTAACTAGAACAATAAGCAAATGTGCATAGGGTATTTGCGTATGATTTTTTTTGAGGGAAGAAACCACCCATTGGTGATACTACCTATTTTGTGTTCTTAATTTATTCTAAAATTTCTAAAATTATTTCGAATAAAAATAAAATGTTCG